TATAATTGTATAATGTGGTTTATCGATCAAATTGAAGAGTTTATATATAAATAATTGAAAATATTCTATGATTTATAGTTTTTAATCAATACTGTCGTTATAATTGTGGTAATTTTGGTAAGGAAATAAATTATTTTGAAATTTAAAATAATATGGATTCATTATTATAGTATAGTTTTATCTTCTCTGGTATATCCAGGGTTGTTAAAAACATGCAATTTTTGTTTTAAACCTGTATAAATCATAAGAAAACATTTTAAAACGATCCTACAAGATCAATGTAAATTTAAAACTGTTTTAAATCATTTCTTTCATTCTAACCTCAACACTNTAAATTTAAAACTGTTTTAAATCATTTCTTTCATTCTAACCTCTTGATAACTTTCTTTAAATTAAATGTAACTTAGAAAATAATTGGATTTTTTACATTTTTCCATTATCAGTATTATCTCAATTGTTTTCTTCATTTTATTCTCGAAGTTTTTCACGTTCAATTCTTATATATTAGTGAGATATTAATAATTAATTTAAGTAGAATATTCCAAGTAGCTTTCTTTTTAGTTGCATTTTGTATAAATGCATTAATCATTTGGAGACACGTGATTGTATTATATATAAAGACCCGTATAAATATAATATAGGTTTTTGTTTTTTACATTATTTATCCTGGGTGTCTTGTTACATGTTGTATTAATGTATGGGACAAAATTACTAAGGTGGCCGCACAAAGCCCCAAATGTTTCGCGACTATAAAATCGATAGGCGGATACTCCAGGATCTATGTGCTAGGAAAAAACGAGGAGGGGTCGTTTTTATTACCCAATAGGGTTTGAAAATTATCAACGGGACAATAAACGTACTAGTCGTACACACGCGCATATAAACACGAATAAGTGTATAATAAGTCTATGGGGGAATAGTGTATATTATGCATAGTGTGGAATGAGGAGGTTAAGCTGAAATATTATATTCATGAGCGTTTGTCGCGTTTCTCATAAAATCTTCAGCGTCTGTCATTGNGGGGGAATAGTGTATATTATGCATAGTGTGGAATGAGGAGGTTAAGCTGAAATATTATATTCATGAGCGTTTGTCGCGTTTCTAAAGAGTTTCTCATAAAATCTTCAGCGTCTGTCATTATTATGGTAAACTCTTTGTAAGTGATGACTACGTTTTTCCTTTTTTTCGAACACTGCAATGAGCGCATTCATAAAATTTATGTTGTGGCTGTTTTTCGACGACTTTTAATTGTAACAATTACAGATGTTGACCGTTCGGTGTTTAAAATATTTTACTGTTTTTTGAATGTTACACGTCCGCTGACTAGACTTTAATTAATAATAATAACTTACGTCAGCTGAGGCCTTTTATTTTAATTCCACGGTTACATTCTTTATTGTTATACAGAATAGATGTTACTTATATTGATCTTTGGATCATTTCAGAACCGAAGATATCAACTAATCTGTTTAAATTTACTTTAAATTTACTTAATCAATTCAGTTTATAAATAACGTATGAATAATGATCGTTGTTATGACGTGTTTTTGCAGTATTTATTAGTCATGGTCAGTAGAACTATACATTATTTTTTTTGCAAATGTTACTCCTTAGCTACTAATTACATTCAAGTTAAATCCATAAAACATGGATTAATATTATGACTTTATATTGTTAATTATTAATTAGATCTCTATTGTTCTTTGTACGCTGTGTTTTCTATTTTTTTACAGCTGCTTTTTAGTATGTAAATTTAATGTGTTTTAAAATACGTACAAGTAAATAGTGATGAGTAATCAATCGTAAACAAATTTAAGTTTAATCATATAATAATATAGTTCATGAAAAATAAATTTGGTGTGCAAATTAATAACGCTCATTTTCCTTGTTAAATCATTTGGTTTTAAGTATTATCTAATTGTATAAATTAATAATTAAATGGGAAAAATACTTCCAGAGTTTTGTGTACATTGCAAAATTGATTTGATTTTCTGTTACGTGCAGTATGTCCTTAATCGTTTGGCATTTTTTCAATAAATACTTTTACTTCATCGTGTCCATCCGCTCACATAACATGATTTAAAATATAATACTTGACCATAAATATAATCTCGGATAATTAAAAAAATAATCGATTCAAAAAAATCAGGCGCTCCTTTTAAAACGTGTTGTCTTAAAAGAAGTTGCAATTTTCTAATGTTTCGAATTTATTGTCATTTTGTTGCATAATGTAAAATATGATTTTAACGCTTCAGTACACAATACTTTAACAATCTTCGCAATAAATTCTTAGTATTCTAGTGACAGTGTTAGTAGAATTGTTATTGTCTTATACCAAAAATCGTTTAGAAAACCGCTTGACTCATTGTCTCTTTAAGATAAACAACGAATTCGTCGTATTATGAATGAAAAAAAAAATGAAAACGTGTTAATACAATTGTTATCCTTTAATTTATTTAATATGGTCAATTGTGTTGTTAGCAAACTACAACATCGATTTACAAGGCGAATATACATACGTAACGAGAGTCATTCATTGAATATTTATTGTTTACCGAATAGCCTTTTATTATTCCATAATAGTCCCGAAGATTGGTAGACAACTAACACATAATAATTTGTTAAGTTTTTTGTTTAAACGTTTTAATTTGCCTTAAACATGCTTTTTGCGCAATAGTTTTTGCTCTTTTTTGTTGATTTTTTTTAGATGATGGTCACTTGGTAAACAAACTTTAGGCTTAGTGGGTTCTATTATGTTTTTTTGAAGGTTAATAATAAATTTTGCATAATAGGTCCTATGGTAATGGTTGAAATAACATTTAATAGATGAAAGTCGACCACTTTCATTTTCTTTAGTGGCTATATCGATCTAGCCTCAAGGATTAACAGTTGGGTACGCGATTTCTCTCAACTTTACTTACAAGGGGTTCTTAAAACATATTTTAGTTAAGGAATTTATATTGATTAGATTAAATAAAATGTTTTAATATTCCCCAAAACTAACTAATAGAAACACTAAAATCTGTGTTGGGTTAATTCGCAAAAAAACTTTTTCTTTATTACTTTACTATAAATAAATAATAAACTCTAGATTTTTTTCATATAAAACATACCTAACCAATCAAATATTTTATATTAGCAATAGTAGTATTTAGTTACTAGAAATGTTGCAAATTTCATTTTCATCATCAATGTAGTATCGTCTAGTAAAATTAATTGACCACGGAAAACAAGTTACTGGTATCATCTCAAATAACATAGAATCATTATGTTATCGACAATATTAATATTTTTTTAGAAAAACATAATATTTCTAAAAGTTTACTAGCTTGTGATTAATTACCCTATACTCGCTTCTATTAGTCATCGTTCCTATTTAACAGTATGTAAACGTGAGTATTGTTATACTCAGTAAATGGGTCGTGTTCAATTACACTATTTGCACGCTTAACTTGCCGCCATTATTTTCGTGCGAGTCGAACTAGTGTCTAGCTACTCAATGCAATGTAAATGCACCTGAACTCAAACGATAAAATATTATTTTGTTGTTGTTTTGGTAACCGAGATTTGACAAATGTTTCATGTAAAACAATGCACTATCTTAGTACTTAATCCAAATTGGCATAGTGTCTGTTCGCGGGGTGGATTTATAATAATAAATTATGTTAGCGAGTACCGGAAAGACCACACCCCTGACACGTTACATGTATTAGTACTACTGATGGTCTAGTGAAATATTGTTTACCGTCCGTTAAGTTTAACTATATTAAATATCTGAATAATGCAATTCTTATTATACTCGTCTAGGAAAATAACCAAAATAATTTTACCATATCTATCGATTTACTTTCATTTTTCTAAAACTGTTGTTTGTGTGGTGGGTGACAATTGCATCGAAAATTATACACCAATTGAACTTGTAGGAGTTCACGGTCGTACAATGTTGAATCAAAATTAATAATTATTGGTTTATCCGATATTGTTTCGTGTTATTCTGGTCACATGTTAGTTGTATTTGCCAGTGCACGACTCAAAAAACCACTATAAACGTTTATACTTCACGTGGTCGACTAAAATAGAAATGTGAATTACATCTACAAGCGGTGCGGATTCTATATAATATTAATATTGGTTTATTGAATTGTTTTGACTAGCCAAATGCCGTATATAATTCTGGGCCTGAAAATAATATCACCTTTTGGAAACGCCTTTTACGAAGAATGACAAATTTTTGGTTTATAAATTTATATAACGAGTTCCAAGAAGTCCATGAATACATTTTTATAAATTCATGTGTTGAAATATTTCATGAAATATTTTTCATCAAATGCATATTTTAACTAATCAGTCTCAATGCCCACGATATCTAAAACAGCGGGGTAGTCTTTTTTGAAAAATAGAGAAGCCTTTTTTTATTTCCGTAAATGAAAACTTGTTAGTTTTATTGTAAATGATTCATTGTCGTGTGCGGCACGGGGACACGACAAATTATTGGTCACGGATCGTNTGATTCATTGTCGTGTGCGGCACGGGGACATGACAAATTATTGGTCACGGATCGTTTGTGACACTAATTTTCGTATGTGTTCCTATGTAGTGTGTATGTACTGTGCGTGTTGTTTGGTCGAAAAGGCATGTTAACAATTTAACTNGTTTGTGACACTAATTTTCGTATGTGTTCCTATGTAGTGTGTATGTACTGTGCGTGTTGTTTGGTCGAAAAGGCATGTTAACAGTTAGGCGAATCTCCGTATGTTCGAAATACGAATTTCAGTAGTACCCAAAGGAGTAGTAAAATATGACTAACAACCGGTAAAGAGAACGGATGCCACCAATTTTAGGTATGTTGCCGTTTTCTACTTACCTAATGTTGTTTAGCGTTGGGTTGATTAAGCAATAAATATTATTTTCGACTATGTGTCGTGACTTTTCCTAAGGACTAATTTCTCATGATAATATAATGAGTGAAATTTTTTAAATTTTTATTTTTTTTGTTATAGATCTACAGTTTAATCGAACGAAATCCAATCGTCAATTCGACGATGCACCTGAGAAGTGTCACTGTGTTCGCTCCACTAAATACGGCCTTCATGTCCAAAAAAGATAATGACGACGATTATCTACCGTATTATCATATAAGTAAGAAAATATTTCAACTAATACGTAAATTTAATTTGAACAAAAAAATGAATACTAATAATAACTATCGGCGATGAAGTTAGGGATATGAAAATATTATTTAATTTTTTACAATGGTTACACCGCCGAGGGCTGTTGTTGTGGAAGAGGAAAAGGAAGTGAGTGTATAATGTGTTATGAAGGGAAGTTACGGTGCATTGACTTGCGGGAGTGTCACGGGGTATGGGTCCTGTAACAACTTCGACTCAAGTTCAGACCACCTTGACCGACCGGTGGTTTGGTGGAATCGTACAGAGTGTTAAAAAACCGCGCCAGATTCCGTTTCTATCATATAAGTAACGAGAGTACTGTCTTTTTTCACCACAATGGCCCAAAACTAGCCATGGTAGTCATGTCATAAAAACACCTACAACGATGCGAGAGCTACCCATATTGTTATTTACTGTACAGTCGATTACCGCAGCTGACCACATCTATGACTACTAGTCACAATATGCCTAAGTAGAAGCCGAATACAACTGAAATTCTTTTTCATTTTTTTCAACAGCGAACAGAGACTTGGCGTTTTGGTTGCGTGAATCCGTCTGCTTTGAAGTTGAACAACGCTAGTAGTTTGATTTCAGTAAACTAGCGAATTTTTTTATATCTTCATTGCGGTTTTTGCAATTAAACCGTAAACCATAAACAATGGAAATTGCGACTTGGGACTTTCGTTATCGTATCGGATAGGCCTTGTTGTTTACCAACTCTGACGTATTAGCGATACTTTTGCACGGCCGTATAAATGCCAAGCCGTGACATTTAAAACGACATGCTAAACGTTGCTATCTGCTCGTCATTATTTTACGTCGTATTTACATAGTTATTATTGTGTGGCCGTTCTCTTTATGGTTCTCATGCAAAACAATTTCATCCAATCTTCACGCTATAGGCGCGTTCTTAATATATTCTACGCGATGCTTCATTTGTCTCTAAACAAAAAAATAAAAAAACTCGAGCCTTGTCTAGTTTTTGTTTTTTCATTTTTTACACCATAGGCGTTATTGTCGTTGTGGTACAATAATTATTTTTTTCCTGGCTCTTTTCCGTCTTCTCCGCGCCTCATCCTTTATTCGCTCCACGATCAGCCTCTCCCGTCATCGACACACGAATGGTGCGTTCCGGTATTTTCTCATTTGACACGGTGCGTGCGACGGTATTTTATTTATATTATTGTTATTAAAAATATTATCCAAGTACTAGCTCGAGTGTTATAACCACGATACCGATTTATTCTCTTTGAACTATTTCCTTAGGTCATAACGGCTGACGTCTTCGCGCGATTACATTATTACCATTATGTGTTTAGACTTTCCATAGAATATTTCGTATCACGACGTTGATACTCGCAAAGTATTACAAGGTAGCGGATCTTTTGGATGTCTAAAAAATCCGGACAAAAGATCAGCCTCGACTGTGACTAGGCGGAAATCACCGACACAGTATCAAAGCCGCCCGTTGTTGTGAAGTGTAATATTATTTTCGGGCAGTGACCTCCACTGTCGCACAGTACCTGCATTATAATCGGAAAATGTGTGAGATTCTACGAGAAAAATGCAACAGATTCTTCTGGCGTTTATTAAAATGTTATCGTTTTTGATTTTTGGTCGAATTCAATTGTTATTTTAAGTTTACCATCGACATTCTATGTGGCAAAGCGCGTATTCGAATTTTTAATAATCCCTATTTTTATTCATATTTAGTGTCATTACTTATTTTCCAAAAATTATATTTTAAAATGAAAATAAACAAATTTAACGTTTTCATACATTTTATTTGAATGCGTAATTGTGTACGATATCTGCAATAGCACATGACATGTTCTGTATAATAAATAATATTGTACAATATTATCCTGTAGTTAACATTTTTTATTACTTTGTTTTTTGGTAAACGTGTTTTTGCTTTTTAATTATTATTTATTTATTATTTTTGTCATAATTTGATGATTCATGGTGTGAACATTATAAAATTAGAATTTGAGAAAAAATATATATTTTTATTATCTGTTTAAAAGTTTTTGGGACAATACAAATTTGTACTAATGAGACATATTTGTGTTATTTTAGCAAACGCCCCATACAAATTAGAACAATTAGAAAGATCTGTTTCTTCTGAATTAGAAGGCAATCCGCCTATTTGGATCACGAAAAAGGGCCCTGAAGAATACTATGCAAATCAAGCAAGAATTATTCACCGATTATCAAATTACGAACACAATAATGAAAAAGGAAAACCACAAGTAATTTTTAAATATAAATTGATCAACTGTTATTAATTTCAGCATAAATGGACTCTAGGTCCCAGACGATTTTTTTTAATCGATTTGTGTTTTTACGCTGATTACGAATATGTAAATATGAATGTCTCTTAAAAATATTTAAAAAGTTATAGCACTTTAATGTATGCATACAACATTATTATCAGACTGCGTGTACGACAAAATTTTGCTCATTTATACAACCTTTTGCTAAGTATTTATACTTGTAATTTAAAATTTATAACAATATAAATAAACGAATAATATGCAATGTATTGCTAACAAAATTCTGATAAAACCGTTATTATACCGTTTCGTGTGAGGCGGTTTGGATTTGTTGAGTCTGTAATTTTCGGTCTAACGGTTTTGAATAGGTTAAAATCGGACTAGAGTTTCTTTCTTCGTTCCTTAGGGCGCGAGTCCACATCCAATGAGAGTCCTGAATGGTCTCGAATCAGTCACTGGAACCGGCAGGTGTAGGCGACCCAAAGTTTGTTCTAACAAATAATATTTATTGCAAAATGCACATTATTATTGAAAATATTAAAAAATTGAACGAAAATGCAAAAACGCAGTGATAGAAGCATCAATCTGAGCATTTTGCCCTTAGATGACTAATACTACATTCGGAAGATGGAGTGCTCGTGGCCTTATAACGGCGTTATACGCAAATTTTAAAGTCCTATTACTTTTTTACTTTATTTTATTTTTGCATATTCATAATTAGTATAAAAAACAAATCAATCTAAAAAAATCGAAAAAATCATCTGGGAAAACTGAATTTGTTCCATAATTTCTTATAATTAGAAATATATACAACGTGTTCCAATAGACAATGACTAATCACGCCACTTTTTTTAACTTACAGGTACTGCATGTGATCGATCAAGTTTTGCAACCATTAAGACTGAAAAAGGATATGACCACAACCACGTACAATCCTAACGCATCTAAAATGATGGAGATTAATGAAATCCTGGACTTGGACGGATATCGTATCAAGTGAGTGCACTTTTACAACTTAATTAAATATCGGACCAGATATTAGTGTACAGTAATAAATACTGGTATATATTGAAATTTTTATCGTGTTCAATTTTGCCATTTCGAGGAAGTGAAATAATTATACAATTTTATATAGAGCACTTTAATTATTTAATGACTTTGGTCACGTCAACATCTTCTGGTTGCACTCGATCTGTTTGGTTTCAATTTATTATTCGTCCACGGCTTTTTTTGACACGATTATTTGACCTTTTAGTTGTCACGAAATGTCGTCGAAATTCACAAAAAGTCCTCTGTCGTGTGCGATTATTATTACAGCGCGTAAACGGGCGTTGCCTCTGAAATTTGTTCACACAAACCCCTTGTGGTCCACACGAGTCATTTCCTTTTCTAGTGTGCTCTTTTAATTACAGTTAATCGTATTCGTTGTAGTGTTTTTCTACGCCCACTCGCTGCTGCTGAATGTTTAATTAGATACCGTCTTGTTCAAGTACTTCTTCAATGCTAAATTCTCAACGCGCGTACCACGCGTTATTTGTCATAACATGTTTCCTGCTCTCTAAACTTGATCATCTTACTCGGCTTTAAGGACTAACGTGTAGGCGGACAAAAGCGTGCATGTTGTTGACGCGAGTCAAATTTCACAGCTAAAATGAAAGTTTATTGTACATAACATTATTGTACGTTACAAAGTTATTAACCTATTCAATGGCTTGTTTGTTTAACCTATGAATTTTATACCTTTAAAGCACTCCTCTTTACCCTATTGGATGATGATAGTATACATGTCTCTTTTGTGAATCGAATATGATGTATTATAATGTTTAAATAAAACTCATCGCTCTCCCTTTTAAAACATACTATGGATTATTTTTCTTCTGTGAAATATAAGGGGAGCTGTTCCCACTAACTAAACAAAATGTGCCATCAATAAAAACGAAATAGCAGCCGTTGGTCTATCCCACGCTCGATGGGACATAAAAATCATGGAGTTTTTTAATTTTCGACCGTTATTGGTTTTTAACTTGATTTTATGTTTTCAGTGCGTTCCGCAACAGAGTTATCGAGTTGCAAAAACTACATCAATTCGGCAACAAAGGAGGCCACACGTTCTTCATACCCGTCGATGAAGTGAACAACGTAAGTATTAAAAAAGAAAAAAATCCTTAATTAGTTAAATTGTTTATTTCCTGTCGTCGATGCAGAATTTCTCGACTGCACATTACAATACAAAAGGAACGTCGGTGACAAACAAATACCATAAGCGCTTGTATGATTATTATCATTATTACTATTGACGTGTAAAACATGGCCGAGAACAATATTTCTTTTGATATGCCTGAGAGAAGAGTGTGTCACTATTACACTTAAGTTGGTTGTAATTTTAACTCGGCGTTATTATTTTCGCATCCCAACGCTCTTGTCAAGGACGGCTATTAAAAAAAAAAAAAAAGAAGAGTTTATTTTCGTTCTCTAATTTTGACGCTTATTATCTAAAAATAGGAGCATTTGATAATTAACGTTTCCTTTTCTCCGGTTTCGAGCAAACTCTAAAGTGGTTGTAATTCAGGTAAATCGATTCTTTCTAGACTCTCTTTTTTCGTCGGATTTCAGTGGAGCTATGCCAATTTATAGTTCAAGACCTCTTGGTAGGAGTTTGTATAATTCATCCACGCACTCGGTATCCTGGAAGTTGAACTAACCGCGACGCTTATTATTGCGGTCGACTCGCCGACACTTGAAGACAATAGTCACTTGGAAAGTTTGTGTGCGCCTATTCGTATTGTTTGGGCCTTTCACCGCTCTGTGTAATGGACGATAATATTTATGATTACAGCGTTATAACATTTATCCAGCGTGTCACGATGGCTGCTAGTCGAAACACCTTACTGTCTGTAGTTACACTCGTGACCGATACGTCATTATTTTAGAAAACTGATTTGCAATCACTAATTTCTTAAAAGATAAATTATATAGTTTTTTTCCTTTTTGAAATATCGTCGACACGTCATGACGGTGTGTGGATTCGAACAAAAAAACTCAATCACAGCGTTCGCCTTGAATAATAATATAATTGTTACCACACGAGCATTGCGTCGCGGTTAACGTGCCACAAACGCGCCCGTGACCCTTAGCCCTTCTTCCCATCTCCCTCGGTTTGTCGAGGCGCTCTTCCTACATCACACATACGGCCCGTATGACATCTCTTAGTCACAAACGATTTAATTTATATTTATTAGGTATTATTGCGTACCGTAATTATGTTCTGATTTTATTTGTTGNGCCCGTATGACATCTCTTAGTCACAAACGATTTAATTTATATTTATTAGGTATTATTGCGTACCGTAATTATGTTCTGATTTTTATTTGTTGTATGTCATTTCAGTATCAGAGAGCCAATTTTGATATAATCGATAAACAAATAATCGACGCCCACATCATTCCAGACAATGTGCTTTTCTTGGGACCAACAAACGAAGGTGAACAATTTAAAACGTTGGCCTTTACTGACATGCTCAGAGTAGTCGCTTTCTTCTCTTCAAACGAAGACGCTGGCAGAACTAAACGTAAGTTCAAATAATAAGTAAATAAATAAGATGCTCTTTTATTCTTGAATTGTGCAAAAAGCTACATTTTTACTTGCGCCTCCCGGTTTATAAATGATACGCCTACAACACATTCATTGATTAAAATGGATATTATAGGTCAACCAAAACATTTAAACCGTATAGTAAAATATTAGTAAAGCGTTTGTTTATTTTGGATTTGATGGTATCCCGTTATTTGGGCCGACTGGTGTCGTTGTTTCTGACCTCAGAATTTCCGACAATTAGATTATTTTTAGTTGGCAGATGGAAAAGTAAATGACGGTAGAAACTTTTAGTTATGAGTGAACATCATCATTAAGAGGTTAGGACAATGTTTATTTATTTTGATGACTGAGTGAAATAAATTTCTATGTTTTGATGTCCATTTTGTCAGAATTGATCTGCAATTGACGTGTTTAACAAGACTACGTGCGATTATATGAATTAATTATTATTCTTTTTTTAGATTATGTGAGCAGTGATACCATTTTTGGTGGCGGTTCTTATCCTACTGGAGCTGTGACTGCAGAAATCATCAAAGCCAATATTCCCATTGAAAACGGCGTGGTACATCTGATTAGCAAACCTTTGATGTTAGTAGACAAAACCGTAAAACAATTTGTGGAGGTTAGTATTTTACATTTTTTTTATTGACTTAAAAATAAGTAAATAAATTTTAATATTTGTTTTTTTATTCCATGATTGTTTCGTTGAATCTTTGAATGTTATTTCACATCAGTCGTACAAGGCAAGTATAAGTTATTGAATATTCATTATACTTTATATATACTAGACGAAAAAAATATTTAATTGTTCTTTATACATTACAGGATAGAGATGACGGTATTTTACACCGATTCTTTGAGGCAATTGTAGATTCCGCTGGGTCAAGCTTCATGGACAAATTAGAAGCTTTGCCCAATATTACCCTGTTTGCTCCTTCTAACGCTGCCTTCAACGATCCTTTAATTGAACCCTACTTGACCAACCGTACATTTATCAGGTATTTGCTCGATATGCATTTGGTCAACCAACGATTATCTATGGACGATATCATTTCAGGATCAGTTGATAAGGTTATTATTATATTTTTTCATCGTTTTTTAACAATTTTACAGTGTTAATTTAATTGTGGTGGTTGTTTGCTATTTACTAAATCAACTTTTTTGACATGCCAGTGTTAATTATTTTGGTGGTGCGATACACATGATTTGATTTTGAGTTATAGTTATAAATTGTGATTAAAAATTGATACCATGAAACCTTAAACGGTTAAAACCTAATTCACATTTTACCGATTAAACCTGTAGTGGACTTTTTGTTTTTATAAGTAGCTATAACTAAGTATTAAAATTATGACAACTTTACTAATTAAAACTTAATACTATTAATTAAATGTGCTTAGAAAAATTTGATCATATTTAAACTAATATCATGTTTCTATTAAGAATTAAATTATTTAATAATAATAATAATAATAATACATCAATTATTAGTTAATATTGGGATTTTATACAGTTGTTCACTAAGTAAGGATACAAACAACGGGAACAATAGAAACCCGTTTCCTTACTAATTGAACAATCTATATAATTATTTCTAAAGTGAAATTTGTATTTATGTATTTGTTTTGTTATTAAAATTTCATAAAAACATTTTTCTGATTAAGTATTTCAAATAAAATTATTATCAAATTTATATTTTTGTCAGTCTAAAGAACATAATTTGTTTTAAAATTTTCAAAGTTCGAGAATACCAAAAATTTGTTGAGGTAAACTTCTAGAAATTTATTTTACAATACATTGCAATATTTTAAAATTATTTTTTACTCATCTATAGATAATTTGGTATGAAATGTTTATCGTAAAAATTTAACAAAGATTTGTTTTACAATTTCAAGTCTCATTAATATTTAACATACTCATTGGAAAAAGTCAAAGAATTATCATCATATCTTATGTTTAGAATATCTTATTGTGATAGTGTTACATTTTAAATAATTATTGAAATGCAAATACTAAATATTTATATTACAACTAACCTCATTTATGTTTATAAATTATGTTAAAAACGTAAATGTTACCTGTAATAATTTAGGCATTTTTATTATTTTTTTTTACTGACATAGATATATTTTTTATGAAAATATTCTTAATGTTAAAAAATACTTCAAAAATATTATCTTTTAACATTGCATTTTTTTTTTAATAATTTTTCTTTCCAAATATATCTTAATGCTTTTTAAAATTCACTTTATTTCTTTCAATATTTTATACTGTATTCATTTTAAGTAGATGCATGGCTAAAGCATGATTTTAATTTTTGTGGTTTGTTTGGTTTTTTCCATTATCTTCCATCTACAATGGATTAGAACTTGCAGGTGCCAACTGAAGTACCCCTCAAGGATTTGTTCTTCAATGTAGTAATTAGTGGAAAAAACCGTACCCTTACTCTGGAAGGTGGTAGTGTAAATGCAACAGCTATCCAACCCAATTTAGCTGCCAAAAATGGAATTATACATATTATTGATAGAGTATTAGGAATTCCATCATCAACTGTTGATCGGAAATTAGCTACTGATCCAACATTGAAGTTAGTATTTTAAAATTTAAACTATTAAAAATAAATAAATTATCTCAGAAATTATTTTACGATTAATATTTAATTTATCATTTCAATCTAATTTAATTTTTTTTTATTCCAGCTTTACCAATTACTTAGGTTCAGCATCTGGTTTAAATGACGAATTATCAAACACAGAAAAACGATTCACATACTTTGTACCTAGAAATTGGGCTTGGAACCATGTGAACACACACTCACCACATGTATTTAATAAAATATTTGATAATGTACAAGTTGTAAGTTCCTTTAATATAGATTTTAGAAATTACCTGTATTGCACAATTATTACTGTTATAATATATATATATTTTATACATAATCAGTATTGTTAATATTAAATTAAATATTTTAGGGCCGTCAAATTTTAGAACGTCATTTAATTGTATCTAACAAAGCTTATACAATGGAAGATCTAAGAGCACTTGCTACAAATAGTAACTTATCTGTAAAACTATCTACAGTACGCGATGTAAATATGTATTTACAAGTCAAACAAGTTATGAGTGGTTAGTATTAAAAATTATCTTTTTATCCAAAATTTTTTAGTTCAATATGATTTTTTCAATTGTTGCTTATTTAAACATATCTAATTTAAATAATTTTCTTTAGGCTATATGATTGGCTGGAGAGATGAATGGATCAATGTTTATCGACCTGATGTACACTGCACTAATGGTATCATTCATGTTATCGACAAAGTGCTGATGGAAGACAGTGATGTAAATACAGGAACCATGATTACATCAGCAACTACATTGTTGATGATCGTGTTAGTTCATAGCATCACACTTTATTACTTCAACTAGTCAATTTCTTTACATAACACCTGTCCCCAGCAAGTAGCAGCAGCAGCAGGGGTGCCTATTGATGCCTAATGCATCATTGATATACATTTTGTTTGCCGTCGGCCTCAATTCGTCCTACCAACTTGCGTTAATTGTAATAAAAACCTGTAGGTTGTCGCCAGCACCAGCATCTTACCACACTACCCTGTTGTTTATTCAGCAACATTTTTTTAGAACCTACTGACCTTTTCTTTATCCTGTCCCTCTTAATCTTATCCTATTTTAATATCAGCCAACAAACATAAAATATTCACATATGAATTGTATTCATGTCTGTTGTTGTAATACGACACTACAGCTTTTTTTATTTCTTCTATAGTTAAGATCTTAATACTACTGAGTATATATTCTTTATTCATACATAAATATTATATAATATGAGATTTCCAGCATTTTATAATTTTATTTTTATTTTTACCATTAGCTTGTGCCTGATTAGTGTAATATAGTGTTTAAAAATATTTTGTTAGCTCCTATTTCTATTTATGCTTTAAGCATACTATTATACCCTTAAAAGTCCAAAATATCAACAATAAAGCTAGTTAGCGCACTATTACAAAATGTGATTTGCTTTACAAAATGCCCATTGTCGTAACCACCTTATTTCCCACCCTTAACTTACTATTTCATATAAAATTTAAATTCATTGTTACTATTTTTTTCTTAACTTCTGTAGAATGATAAAAGTTTAATTTTATTGACATGTGGTTTTTATTATTATATAGGAAACGTATAAATGAGTCTGATAAAAAAAAAAGGTATTGAGTACTTGAATGATAAGAAATTTTTATACCAATATTAATTATTTTTTTGTAAATACTGAACATGGTACGACTATAGGACTTAATAGTATTAAATTATATATACATATAGATATAAAAATATATGAGGTATAAATAATTAATATAAAGTTCGTCTTTTTCTATGATTTAAAGTAAATAGATTGTTTGTTATTTTATGTAAATGAATTAGTAAAAAATTAATTAGATTAAATCGAACAATTATATTATCTTTATGATTGAATCTTACTTGACCTAAATCACATTCTTTAACAAATAAACTAGTTATTTTTAATTTCTATATTTATATTGACCAAAAATTTAATAGAAAATTTGAATAATTGAAGAAAATAATAATCTTGTTGAGTTTTTATGGAAAGTCTATCTAATAATAATAACTTATCTCTTTTTACGTTAATATTATAAAAATTAAAAAAAAGATAATAATAATTATATATAAATATATTAGGTGGTTATACATAGCTAGCACAAGATGCTTGCTCTTATCGTAATTTATACAATTTTTCTTATAAAACTGACTTTAATTATTTTTTAATTGGTAAACAGCTTATAATATTAATATTTTTAATATTAACTTTAATTTTAATAAAATGTTCAGACATTTATATTAAATTAGATATTAAAAATGTGGTAATTTAAAATATTATTTTATTGTATAAAATCCTATAAAAAATAGACTGTGCGCAGTCAGAATATTGTAAGCCTAAGGCTATTATCAAAGGAAGACAACTACTGTTGTTTTTTATTTTACTAATATTAACAAAAATTTTTATGTAAATAGTAGTTTTACGTGTTAAACTATGTTTTTTTTCTATAATATGTATGGTTGGAACCTATTGCTATTTTTATTTTTCTCTGTACCATATTTTTATTATTTTTATTTATTCATTTTAATTTATATATACATGCATATATATATATTATATGAGTTTCAACGATCTGCACCAATATAAGTATTATAATATAAAAGAAAAAACTATTATTCTATTTATATATACATTCATACATTTTTTCTGTTGCATTATTATACGTTTTTTTATGTATTATTTTATACTCATTTCTGCTTAAATTAAATCTAAATTATATTTTAAGTTATCACTAAAATGATAATAGTTTATATTGTAGATTTGTGGATTATATCATAAAAAGAATTGCGTGTGCTTGAATGCGCAGTTTTATAGTTTCACAGTAAATGTTTAAACTATATATCATCAAAAATAAAACAGTATAAATACAAACAATTTTTTTATAATACTTAATTTTTTTTTAGTTTTAAATTGCAAATAAAATTTACCTTGAGTTGAATTATAATTTGTATTTAATGGGTAAACAAAATTCTGTGCTAAACTTCTTTCTATTACATCTATAACTAGATCATGTTGATGGAGATCTTTAATATATCTACATTTTTTGGTTATATCAAGTTTCAGTATACACTTAAAACAAATTTTTAAATGTTGAAATTATTACTCAATATTATTAAATGATTTTAATTGTACTTATGATAGTTCGAAACAATGAAAATAAAATTTTATTTAAGTAGTATGGTCAAACAATTATTATTAAATTATAACTTATTGAACACCTGCTACTCTATCAGAAAAATTACATACGGTTTCACGAGAGGTTCATACTCAGTCTGTTCTGAATTTTCTTTTCTATCCGGACAGACTGAGTATGGACCACTTAAGAATCGTTTAACTGTCTGTGGCTACCGTACATGGTGTATTAAAAAAAGATATGCTATTAAGCATCGTTTAGAAGTTTTTTATGTTTTGGTCATGTTTATAAAACGTTACTTAGGTTTAAGACATTTAATCCTCTTTATTTCTTTTTTAAGCATCTTTAATTATTTTATAACTAAATATTAATGTAAACGTGCTGCCTTATTTAAGTTTTTTTTAAATTTGGTAACTTGAGTCTTTTTAACTAGTATGAAAAGTCGGATTAAAAGGTTTAAAATATGTTAAGTGATGTAAAAATATACTTATCTATGTCTAACTACAAGTATCATATTGAATGAAGTACAGTAAATTTACGGTTACAATTTGTTTTTTACCTATTGATACGGTCACATATATATGATATCCCATAACATCATTGTACCGCCGACTAGGCTTATAACATTGACATAGTGACACGTATTACTATAGGAGGGCAAACTGCACACATAATAAACACTTGGAATTCACTGTCACTGTGCCATAATGGAAATGTCCTAAAGGCCAGATGACTTTTTACCATCATTGCGACTATTGCTGCTTTTATTGTTTTACACTTTAACTTAAATTAGCTACTACCGGGATAGTGTGTGTGTCGCCGTCAGCTCCCTATAGGATTATTATCATCTGTAGGTGTCTAGTTGAAAGTATTGCTTATTTAATATTAATTACTTAATACATATTTATATTGTTGTAAACTAAGAATATTATATATTATTGAAGAGCGACCTTTGGTAGTTCCTCTAAGGGAATATAAATGAAATAGGAAAACTCAGTACACAATACTCTTCACGCCCTTTTCCGGTACGTGTCGTAGATCCAAAAGCGGGACTTTTTGGAGTCGCAACCTCCACGTGACGCAGCCTGGTCAAAGGACCTGATTTTTGGGTTCGGTTAACGCGGGAGACCACGCCGTGTTGTGATTTAGTTCAAATCAAATAAATTTTGGACACAACACGGTGGAGTTATAGAGACGGCGTGGGCCACCCTAAAATAATGTCTAATGACAGTTTCAGGGTGGCCCTCAATAATACCAGTCATGTAAAAAATAAAAGTTTATATTTTAAAACCTCGGCAAGGATTCAGAGTTTCCTCCCTCAAATACGTCCTTAATATTATTTATTATGACTAAAATTTATATCAGGACATAAAGTAAAGATCATAACTGGAGTGTCCTAACTTATAGATATGTTCAACTAGTGTTCTCTTTTAAAATGTAAAAGAAATATAAACATCTCGCGTGCGTTTGAATTTACCCGCCTATTTTTAGAGTGTACCATTATTTTGTTTTTTTTGTGTTTTTACCAGTTTTGAAACCAGTATTTTGTCTTTTTTTTGGCATAATTACGTTGTTCATCGGGATTATGGATGCAATCTAGACTCAATCCGGGAAGAGGTGATCAGCACCAATCTCCACTACGCCGTAAAAGTACTTTGCAAATTTTCAACCCATAAATATCCACGGATAATTTGTGCAATAATGGTATGAGAAGTCAAGGTTCTAAATCTCCAATTAATCCTTTACACAATAAACCTAAATCAAATGGTAAATCAATTTCTCATGATCCCTCATTTCAAACTAGTACTATGGATTTCAACTCGCTTGAATTCATCGTTGTTGTAACGTCACCCGGTTCGCTAACTTCAAACACAAACTCCCTCAATGTTCGAATAATATATCAAAAGTCAGGCAACCTAATGTTCCTAAATGCTTTCCATTACACTACACTAGTCCTCTTAACGTACTTTTTTCCGCTTCTATCAATAACAACGTTGGCAATTTCACCTTGTTTAGCTCGGGAAAACTTTCTCCAAACTATTTACAGGTATTCTTAGCATTAACCCTATTGGATCTAAACGCGTTAAAATCATATTTACATTTGATTCGGTTACTAAGATCAACAATTGCCTCACTTCCCCCTCTCATACTGAACTCTACTACTTTGTGAATTTATAGCACTTTACTATATAGCATTGGAATCGTCCGTCTAGATAAAACTATCTCTGAGAGAAGACTTGTGGGATGATCATGAATGTTCAGTTAAGATTGTTACATTTAAACGAATTAATATAAAAAAGAATAAAACATTTTTTTTCCACGGTCGACTAATTGTTGGCTGCCCTGGAACTACCGTGAAGCATTACTTTAGGGCGGCCAACGTCGCAATATAACTCACAACGTGATATGGCCCCCCCCGTTAGCCAGATCCAAATGAATGGACTGCTTATTTCGCGGCTAACGTGCATATCTGCAGGCTATTCCTCTATCCGCAACCTGAGGATGTGGCCGATTTCTCAAGCTAGGGAACCGTGGCCGTTCACGGGTCTAAAGTCTACCCTAAGTTACAGTATTTTTGTTGAGTGCTCCTCTGTCAAAATCATCAGCTGTCCTTTGCTTGCTAATAAATTTCTTTCTATCCCTAACCACCACATTTATTCCTTATACACTAAATTAAGTAATTGTTGGCGTTAGACTTAGGTTAGATTATAATCTTTTTCCCAACCATGCATTCATCAATCTTTCCTTAAATTTCGCTCCCTTCTATCCCCTATTAACAGTGTTTAATTTTAATAAATTAAGGAGATATGGACGCCACTCCCATATTTCCTTAATTATATCTTTATTAGTAGTTTTTTGATATACAAGTGTAATGCACATATGTATTACTTTTATTTGTTCATATAAAGTTTACCTCTTAAAAATGTTGAAATTTTCATCCAGTGTTTCGGTGATAGCTTATTACGACAGCTCTTTCAATTATTTCAATGATAGTTCCTTGTTCACATTAAAAAAAAAAATTAATTTACACCCTAGGTGTATATTGCACTAAAATAAATATTTTAGAAACATGTTATATTCATAATATTATGTTTTCATTTTGTATATTGAAATAAAAGTTATCTTGCTAATATTGTTTGTTTACATTGAAAAACTATATGGTTAATATATTATCAGTTTATTTTTTATGTGAATCATATCAAGTTACGTTTGTTTGTCACAAACTTAAATTTGGACTAAACTATTATAAAATACAGATGGGATCATCGTAACAAAATTTTGTTTTGTCAATGTAAAATTGAATTTAGCATACAAGTTGTAATAACTTGAAAATCATAATTGTTGGACATAAGTTAGTCTAATTCGTTAAAAACGTTAACATTAAATTTGAACAATTGTGCTTCTTGATTACTTATTACTTATTAAATACATTTATTGTTTAGATCTGTTTACCTACACTTCTATTTAAATGGGTAAACTAGTTATTTTAAAAAACTAGATAAATTTACCGAAACCTTAAAAATATTTTTTTTACTACTTTTTTAAAATAATTAATCATATATATATATAGTATATTTTAATTTAAAAAAAAAATATTTTTATTTTACGTTTTCGACATCAATTACAAAGTAGAATAAATTGTATACGTGAATATGATGAAGTGGAGTAATATTAAATGCGGTTTTTGTTTTGAGCTTACAATTAAAAAGGTAGCAAAACATATGAGGACCACTGTTTTTCAATTCAAAATAAAATCTGCTAAATATTTTAAGAGAAAAAATGCATTTAGAATTGACTCGTCCAATTATAGCAGGACGTGTCCAAAATAAATTTTTTTTGTAAAGATATAGTTTACAACTAAATAGAAAAAAGTCAAAAAAAAATTGAGACATGCACTCTTTTACAACTGGATGACTCAAATACTTCATTTGTTTACATTTACCCCCTCCACCTTATATTTTTTTCTGTCTGTTCCATTCCTCATTAAATAATTTTCTGTTACCAACGATAACAAGTAAAAGATTTTGTCCACGTAGTTGTTTAGTAATTTCTGAAATGTTTCCTGTAGGTATACCGGTTATCTAATAATATAAAAAGCGTTATGAATAATTTTCCTTAGATCATAACTTAAAAAAATAATTGATTTTTTTTTTACGAAGAATTATAATTTCAAGCTCATTTTAAAATAAGATAAGAGAAAATATTCATTAATAACTCACTACATTTTTTACACTAAAGTCAGTTTCTGTATTGTAATATGAATTATTTGTTTATTTATTAATTATTTAAATCAACACTTAAATTAAAAGAGAAATATATAAAGAGAAAAATTACCTAAATAGGTAAAACTAACACCAAACATTTTACACGAATCAAAATCAGAAATATTATAGTAATTGTTATATGAGACTGAGCATTTTTAACAATTAAAAAAAAAAATTTAAATCGTCTAAAAAAGAATGTTGAATTTTGAATTGGATTATAGAACGTATCTGTGTATATCAATTATAAGGTGTTGGTGGGAATACTTAGTGACGCTAAGTGTTTTTATCTCGATAAGCGCGTTCTTAAAAGCGAATAACTGTTGTATAATCGCGTACGATAATTTTACGCTAGCGATTTGGACGTTGCGCATTACGGAGTTAGGCCGTTTAGCTTCAAGTATTTTTAAGCTACAAAAAAAAAGGAATTGATTTCTTGCGAAATTCTTGCGATGAATAATTGCAACAAAATTTTTGTAGCATATCACCTGCAGAAGATTGAAGTCACCTAACCAAATTGAATTTGAACGAATCATTTGATAA